CACACACACACACACACACACACACACACACTTAAACATGTGGAAATGCAGATAAGAGTTGCGCAAAGCTCCCACACTCACACCGTCATGTGGCTTTATTTATGTTTTCACCGAGTTCTGATGATCGATTCACTGTAAAACAAAGATTAAACAAGTGCAAGCCTCATTTTAGAACGTGAAAACGCAACGTTTCTGGTGCAAACGAAAGGGTTAGCGCTCCTTGGAGGAATGCATCTGTGGACCTGGAGTTACAGCTGTTTTGGTCGAACCCTAAAAATAAATCTSTTGCACAATGTGAGCAGCTTAAAAACCTGCTTTTACACGTTTTCTGTCTCCTAATCTCAAGTTGGGACTTTTCACATCAACCCTGCAGCTGTAAACTTGTTCAAACCTGTAACGTCTTCAGTCTAATTCCAGAATAAAACAAGGTGACCGCTCTCATGTCGATGAGGAAAGTGACGCTGCGATGAATCTGAGCCCAGTCTCTCTGCTCCACTCGCATCTTATTCAGCCACTAAAACACACTCGTGCTCTCCACATGCATAATTCAGCAGGCGTCCAATTATATCTGAGAATAATTCCATATGAACATGCAGTATTAATYGAACACGCTGCGCCCCAGAGGAACCCTCGGTGTAAGAATAAGCTAATTTGAGGTCATCGCTTTCTCGGCGATGAACTCTCCTAAATCCTCCCGACGCCGGACGTTTCTGAAGAATGAATCTGAAGTGCTGGGGGTAATTGAAAAGCAGCGGGCAATTAGCCGCAGCAGCTTTCACCTGKTTGTGTTCAGGAGCGCTCTATGGTTTGTTTATAATTGCTCACAAGTTGAAACTAGAATCAATAAAATGTGAAAAGATGTGATTTTTGGACACGTGCAGAGTTTAAACAACACTTCCTGCTCTCACACACTTAGATTTAGAGTTACTAGCCGACGCGGGAATTCAGATTAAAACCTTCTTGAAAGGTGACGGCTCTAACCGCTTCACCACCGTGCCACAATAAAAGCAGATATCCGCTCAACGGTTCTGCTGCCCGCTGGCTTTTTAACGTCTCTCTGCTGTCGAGAATCTGCTGAAGTCATGGCTGTAATTTGCATTGGGGTGCACAATAATTTGATCCAGCCCCCCAAAAATGACATAATTTTCTCTAACACATGAATTGGGGCAATATTGATTAAAATGCATTGCCCTAATCAAACAAATACACAAATTAAGTGGTTAAATACTCAGCTGCAGCTCTCTTGTTTTCTTTAGGTAACTTGGACCTGATTTCAATATTTACCGTCATATATATATACGTTTGAGCATAACTTCTAAAAGCAACATGCAGTGTTTCAGTCTGCTCGTCACATTATGGCTGCATTTGTTCAATCATGGGTTGTAATTTTTCCTGGCCAAGTTATTGTGCACCAGGTAAATACTATCCTACGCAGTTCCGCTCAATTTTAGTTTCCTTTCACTGCTTTCTCCCATAGACAAGGATTTCTTCAGGAGAATTTTCGTCCGGGCCAATCAGAGAACAGAAAGTCGATGTTCTGCAGTGTCTGCTAGTTATTTTAGCATACGGCAGTGGAGGAATGAAGCCAGTCCGTGTTGATAAGTTGCCAAATGAAATTAAATTTGTCTGACAAAGCAGCAGCTCTCATTTACAGTCYTCTCATTCAGCTCGGTACTTCTGTCCTCTCCGTAGGGTTGTTTACAGCACACGATTTCCGGTTAGCTTCTTAGCTTAGCCTCCTTCCCAGTGACAACACACACATGCTTCAGCAGAGGCCACGCCTCCTGCAAGAATCGCTTCTCTATGGCCGCAAGTCCGGACCCTCGTACGAAGCAAAGTGAAGGACAAGGGTCTGGTTTTTACCAGGCTAGGTAAATACACACTCATGGAAAAATTGAGAAATGTATGTTGTAATAAATACATCCTTAAAGTGCTAAATATTTGTTACTGTTGTAAAGTAAATACAAAGAAAGAAGGAAAGTGAAGTAAATCACATTTAAAGCATTGCAGAGTATTTTAAGCCCGAAATATCCTGAGTTGTTTTACAAAAGTAAATAAATAAATAAATATGCAGAGAGCACAATCTAAAGTTACACCCTTGGCTGAAGTTGAATCTCAGAGCAGTAAAACTGTAAAATAAAGATAAAGGGTTTTCTACATTAAAGAAACCAGACTACAACAACTCCCAGTTTTGGTTTTATTCTGTCTCTTTTGATTCGTTGGTACAAAACACTTTGTCTGCAGATCTTCACTCTTACAGCTTTAAGTGGATGGGCCCTGTTTTATTTAAGTGATTTTCTAAACATCCACACATTAGTGAGAGCACCATGGGCCAGTTTTCTAAACGTTTTAAGATCCTGATAAAAAAAACCAAAAAAAAAAAAAAAACGTCTCAAATGTGGAACAGTTTATCTCTCCTTATAACTCTGCTCAGACCGGAGACACTGGATTTGTTACGGAGCGAGTTTCCTCAGCTTTTCCTGGTAGCTGCCATGTTTGTTTGTTTGGAACCAGAGTCTGCTCTCTGCTGTCAACTCACATGATGTTAAAGGACTTTTCTTCTTATAAAGCATGAAAAGAATCCTGAAAATCTATATTTGAACTGGGCTGGACCCAGCTGGTCTTAATTTATACGGTTTCTAGTATTCTCATCTCAAAACTCATATTTTACTGACTTTACCTTTTAGTTTGAGCTTTATTTGAGCTCATAATTTAACGTGAACTGACCGATGAGCCGTGACAAATAGTTTTAAAAACATTTCCGACACTCAGAAACACTCAGATGTTGCAACAGATTTGGTCCTGTATTAGTTTGTGGTAATCAAATTATGCACTTAAACAGTTTTTTCTTTCACCACAGCTTCCCTGTTACCAAACATTTGCACAAATTTAGTCCACATTTACAAATGACAGCTGTGGAATTGGCTGCATTTGATCACGGCAGCTCTTTCATTTAATAAAAAGTGGAAAATGTTTCTGGAGAATCGGCTGCAGTTAGGAGGAGAGTTCTCTGCGGTGTTTATATTCAGTGGTTTTTAGCTGTTTTCTGTGTGTGGATGCAGCCACACTTTACACACTGTATATGGCAGAGATTGTAAATGTTTAGCCGCTGCAGCACAAAGCCATTCGGATCGATATCATAATGAACACAACAGGCTTTTGACTTGCTCTCCAACAAGAGCACCTTTCTTGTCCTGGAGCACAATTTACTAAGAACCCTGCGGATCGATGCGTCCTTCTGTTTAATAAATGCGCAGTAAACATGATTCATGCCGTTAGATTCACTGTTTATCTGCTCATATTTTCTTGTCTCTTTGTTTCGTTGCAGGCGAGACGTTCTCGGAGCACTACAGCCACACAGAGAAGTGCATGCCGTGCACCGAGTGCACCGGCCTGATGCGCATGGAGACCCCCTGCACCGACTCCAACGACGCCAAGTGCGTCTGCAACTACAACTACTTCTACAACAAGATGTCGGAGCAGTGCGAGCTGTGCACCGTGTGCCCCGTGGGGCAGGGCGTGTTCTCTCACTGCGAACACGACCACGACACGGTGTGTGAGGAGTGCGTGGACGAGACRTTCTCCGACCGCGAGAGCTCCCTGGAACCCTGCTTACCCTGCACCATCTGCGACGAGGAGACGGAGACCGAGGTGGCCAAGTGCACGCCCACCACTGACTCCGTCTGCTACAGTAAGTGTGACTCACCTGACCAAATCACTTCCTTTATAGTTTTACATTAAACATGAAGAAAACAGTGGGTGATCACAGAAAAAAAAAACTAGAGAAACTGCATTTCCTGCAAAAATGCTAGTCTGAATGCTTGTTGCTGAAAACTTTAGCTTTCAGTTGAAGTTTATAACACAAGTTCAATTTGAAATGCTGAAGAGGCAAAAAAAGCTCCAATTTGCTGAAAGAAGCACAAAAAAAAAAAAACTGAAATAAGTAGAAGAATACCAGAAAAAAAAAATCAGGATTATACTGTATCTTAGCAGAAAAAGCTAAAGGTAGCAGACACAAGTTGAATGTAGCTCCCAGATGGTGGAACGGGTATAAAAATGTCTAATTAGTAGGAAAAACAATGAATAAAAGCACAAAAAAGTGACAATTTGTTGTATAATTGCTAAAACAGCCAAAGTGTGAAGTAAAACAGCTAAAATGTAGCTGGAAATTCCTAAATTGGCATAGGAAAGCACGTTTTTCTGAATTAAGCAGATAGAAGCTGCAATAGCCACAGAAGTGTGAAAGTCGCTTAAAAAAGCTAATAACAGCTGAACATCAGCTAAAATTGCAGCAACAGCTGAATGTAGCAGACAGAAACACAAAATGTAGAAAATAGCAGAAGAATTGCAGAAAGAAACAAAACTAGATACCACATAGCGGTAACATCATGACCCCCACACACACAAATGCAGAACTCACAAGTCTTTATGTCTAATAAATGTCATGTTACTAGATGCATTAGATGCATTCCAAAATTGTAGGGGTTTGGG